GGGGGGGGGGGGGGGGGGAGGGGGGGTAAAGCCCAAAGAAAAAAAGTTGTTACAGTAGTGGGTACGACCAGAACTAGACACACGTCGTACCTGTGGAGTGTTTGCTCTCAATTCGAGCTCCTTCGAGCACGAGGCCTTTCGGCAGCGAGGACAGCTCTCAACCAGCACCGCCACACGACCGTAAGAGGTCCTGTGTATCGCAGGTTGCGTAAGATATCACACCCTCTGGACCGATTTCCAGAACTCGATTCCTCCGCAGGAAAAGCGGTGACGGTGCCGAAAATGGCGGCGTCAGAAACGTTTCGTCCAGAGCTTTCCAAAAACGCACCATTTGATTTCGGCATCCTCTTCGTCGTGGAGTGGTCAGGCTTTGAAAATGGGTCCGGGGTGTGTGGTATCTTACGTCATGTCACGTATGGTATCAAGAACACACCGGGAGCTTTCGTTGGCCGAAAAACCATACAACCGTGTGCGCCGCGTTCCGTAAACTTACCGGGCAGTCGGCGTACGGGAAAAAGTCGTCCTTCTTGACGGAGAGCTCCAGCCCAGAGGCGTGCTTCGCTTCCGTGTACAGCTGCGGAGTCGAGAAAAACACCTGCCGAAATGTGGAACCGGTCAAAAAGTGGGGATGGGGGATGAAAGGGAAAGCAGATACTATTAATCTAGTATTCACCTGCCGAACAGAACGGGACGAGGAGGGTATGAATGTCTATGTGGGTGTTTCGTCTTGCATGCTGGGTCGCCAGTCCGCAAACCTGTCGGTGCAATGTGTTTGACGCATCAGCCTGGGTCACACGGGAGGAAGGTAGGCCACACAGGAGATTTTCTTCGATTCTGTTTGAACGCTCCACCTCTACTCCTACAGTGTTTGCCTTTCCTTGGTGGTGGTTCAGCGGACGGGGGGGCAACATTCCAATTTTCACAGCAGCAAAACCGGCGTCCGTCTGCGCACGGTACCAAATTACAGACGTCGAGAACGGCTCCTACCGCATATGCCATGACAACGCACGACACAACACGAGAGAGATATATACCACACACTACGGACGTGCTCTGCCAGCACGAACGTGTACTACCATAGCTACGTTGTCGCTGAAGAAGCCTAGCTTGGCTCTACGTCTACTCGCTTGTTTCACCCTGGGCGTTGCGCTCTTTGGTCTTCGCATGCTTGGTGGGGTGCAGAGACAGAAAGCGGTGTAGCACAAGTGGGCCCCTACTCGAATAACAGCATATGACACAGGTGTTATTGTGGAGGAGCGAGGCGGGTTCGGTCGAAAAACCTCGCGGATCACAGCACGCGGAGATCACCAACATCAGTGCCTCGAAGTACACCGCACATCCGCACACGTCCAGCACTTCCCATAAACAACCAGCGACAACAAAATTCTACTCTAGCGCATTGATTGGTGCTCACGTTGACCCGTCCCTCTTTGTTGACCGCCGCCATGAGAATCTCGAGGTTCTTGAACCAAGCGTCGGCGTTCTCGAAGCCGAAGTCACCGCCCATCTGCAGCATCACGTCGTCTCCAAGGGTGTTTCGACCTAACTCCTGTCATGGCGGAGAGCCAAGGTTTGGTTTTGGGTTGTGGTACGAAGCGTTGGCGCCAGTCGAATGCGTGAGGATGCACATCCGTGCGCAGAGGCCCCCAGTCCCACGCAAAAATCACTGTTGTGTTACTGACCCTGGATCGGGGCTAGATAGCTGAGAAAAAGATGAGACCGTGCGGTAGGTAGTACCTGAAGCGATGGTTTGAAAATCCAAAACGTTACTTACAAGCTTGTCTGACCAAGAAATAAATCGTCTCAAACATTTTCAAAGAGATACATATGAACCGCGCTCAGGATATCCTCTGAATCACATGATTACAAACGGATTTGCACATTTTTGTCGTTCGCTGTCAGCTGATTGGCCACATTCTCTCAAATCGCAGTATATTATTATGCTTCGAAGCATGTACGTACCTGGCAGGCATCAGCAAAGTCGGACGCTCTTCTCTCGACGTTGTAGTCCACCATTAGGGGGTCGTCCATCATGGGCTCGTCCTGGCATGCCTGGTCAAAGCAAAAACCTACCGGTGGGCCGTAGTTTCCGCTGTGAAACACTCCTTCGGCAGCAACAAACAACCGCAAAAGAGACAACGTTGAACGTTGGTGTTAGTCAAAGTGGAGGGATGTACGTTGGTTCTATTCGGTGGACGCTATTACCATACTGCTCCTCGACAACAAAGACTAGCGGACCGCAGGGCCGTGATGAATACAACCACGATACTGCTGCAAAGCAGGAGAGCATTTAATCGAAAATCGATATAGAAAGGGGGGCACCGCAGAGAACACTGCGAGAAAAACAAGCATGTTTACACCGCAAGGTTGCAGGCCTGGCCGAACGAAGAGCCAACTGGCGCGCTGCAGTTTCTCACAGCGTTTTCCAAATCTCCGGCACAAACAAGGCTGAAGAGCGCTTGCTCTTGAACTTTCTTCAGGGAAGAACGATTGAACCCTTCTCGCTTTAATATGTAACGCATGCAGCCGTAGAAAGAAGTATCCTGTCTGCGTGACCCCGGGTCCAAGCTCTTCAGTTGGAGAGTAACAACTTGGTAGCATCGGATAGTAGATGGGGTGACGACAAACAATGTGGATGACGTGTATGTGGAAGGCATGGGCATGGGGTTCATGCTCACGCATACACAATTTGGGAAGAGACCCACTACTGCACGAGTCCATTTAGCATTCCGAACGAACCGCTGGAGATCAGGAGATCATTGGCGGATGCATGACCCTTGCACATATTTCAATTGTCCTCCTCGAGCCATCCTCAAAACGCACCTGTGAAAATCTGGGCGTCCTGTTCGGACGACCGACTGGCCCTCCACATCATCTCCATATCCTTCTCGGCTACCCGCTTCTCCCGGTCCTGATAGTCGATTCGACCAAAGTAAAGGGCATCGAATCCCGCCTGCAAAAACAGCATATGTCGCAACATCGCAGCTTTGGGGGTTGGAATAGCAACGACATTTTCAGCGAAACTAGATTGGACGGAAAAGAAATAGAACACAAAGGCACAAACAAGTTGTGTGGAACAGAAGCAGAGGCGTCGAATCTCAATGTTTATGTGAGCGTTTCACTCGCGTATAAAACGAACGCCTCCAGCCCCTGTCAGACGCCCCCGCCCCTCCCTCCCCCCCAAAGGCTGGACACATGGTTTCGGTTCCAAACCATTGTTGAACACGTCTCCAAAGCTCGTTAGACCCCCTCCCCCCTCCTCCTCCGTTGACGATGTTTCTATTTTGAGTGCAATTGGTGATGCGTTAGGCTGCACAGTCAACAGCCTAACACAGCAGCACAATGAGCACGACCCCAAACGGGTGATATGGGTTCGGGGCGGGTTAGACAGACAGACGCTCAGGCTAATGACATAAAGGTGGGTGTGCTGGCGTGGAAAAACCCATTCCTCTTCCGCACCCCCGTCCTTTCCCGCCCCCCCTACAACTCCTCGCCTGCGCCCCCAGCAGAGAAGCCTGCGTGGCCGAATGTCCGAAGGGGTCTATCTGCCAGGCCACCCTGGGCAACGCTTCTTCCCCGAACTCTTCCCTCAGGAAGGAGTGTCCGAGGTGGGTCTGGTCCACCATGCCCACGTAATGCGCCGCGGCCTCGTCGTGCATCACCCACCCCCCGTTGATGAAGGACAGCCGTCCCTGCGACACCAGGTGCCGCACGGACGCTTTTCTGTGGCGGTCCTGTCGTAACAAGAGCGGGGTTGCACACGTTTTTTTGGGGGGGGGAACTCGCGGATGGCTTCATGCATCTACGAGTGCTGTTTGTCGGGTGTTGTCGAAAGGCGGGCCTGTAGAAGCACCAACATGATGAGCAATAGCAACATCATGCGTCAAGAGAGCGGCAACGTGAAAAGATGCACATGGTTGTACATTGTGTTGAGACACGTCAACTAACACCTGTCGCTTCTATCATACAACCAGTCTACCCTCCTCTCGCCTGTTGCCGCCACCACCGCCACAAGAAGGCCTGTTCCGCGTACACGAACTTCCTTTCCGGATCCTCCTCCAAAGCGCTCACGACGCTGTCCAGAATGTACTGCACTCCTGCGTGTGCGATGGTGTTGTTGGCGCCGTAGAAGTACTGGTCCACCGTCTTTCGGAACGGAGACCGAGAGGGGGGAAGGGGGGGTGATTCACCGACCCCTAGCGTTATTCTCTCTCGTACGGGCCTTGATCCACAATAGAAAGCAACGAACGTACAACACTGCTGTTTGAGGGTCAGTAACGAAAAGAGCGAGTTTGTTGTCTTGGCGGGAAAAATGACCACGTCGTATTTGAGTCTGGTTTGTTTTCCAACGCTTCGAAAACGAAATGGGAAGGGGCTTGCATTGGCTCTCTGCACGTTGCAACGCGGCCTGTAGATTTAGGACAGAGAAAAACGATAAACCTCCAACCCAACCTCACCTTCAACCAGCCGGGATCATCATGGGTGTGACACACCAGATGCACATTCAACGAGCCTTCGTTCCTTTTGACCGCGGCAACTCCTCGAGCCCTCAGCAGCAATGCCACGAAAGAAGCCAATATCCTCATGGTGTGTTGGTTGTCGCGCGTCTAATGTCTACTGCTGTTCAGCCAGCGTATGGGAAGACGGAAGACGGAAGACGAAGAAGGCGGCGTTTTGATGCCGCTGGTTCTGATCAGAGTTGTGGACTTCTTCGGGCCATCTTGCGGCACAATCTCTGCCTTCTCGCGAGAACCAGCTTTCGCTACTCCGCTGAAAATTACCCCGCTGCTCCGTTCTCCGTTCTCCTCTCCCCTCTCTCCCTGCTCCGCTGGGACGCTCCGCTCTTCTCTCGGGAATTTCGTTTGTTGTCTGCCGTTTGTTTCTGCCTGCAAAGCCTAGATCTCGTGCATCAATCTGCACCGCTTGTTTGCATTGCTGCAGGTAGGTATCCTTCGCTACCCAAACGACAGCAAATTTCAAACGTGACAGCACAGCGTGCACGGTTGAAGACTACGACTCGAGACACATCAAAATGGAAGAGACAAGTGTACCACCTGCGTATCAGCCGTCAGGAACGAGACGGTACACCCTGGCCGGCAGCGCACAACGTCCGCCCTTCAGTCCATTGTCTCCGGTGCACCACTCGTGCACCGCTCCCGAGGAGGGTTGCCGAGAGGGCGAGGGTCGGTGGAAATCAGAAGCACAGGAGACGCCACTGGCGGAGGCGCGAACAGGAGGGGACTTGAGTGCGCTGGAGCAAGAGGAGTGGGTGAAGGTCTCTTGGAAGAAAGGGGAGTGCAGGGAGGAAATTAAGCTCATTGCAGAGGCGTCCGGCCTGGCTTTCGACGACGCTCGAATCGTGGTGAGGATGGCAACAATGGTCAAAGGGGATGCCGACATCAGTTGGGAGTGAGCCATACATGTGCCGGACCGAGCACCCACTCAAAGCAAACTTCCGAGTTGACCATATGGCATTACCCTGACAACTGCCAGGAGCCGGCAGTCTTTTGATGATGATGACACGTGTGCCAGAAAGTACGTCAAGTGGATAGATACCGAGGTAGGCTGTATCAACAACATGGTTCAACCGTGGCAACGAGCCCACAGTTAACTCCCAACACCCTAACATGTTATGTATGCATCCATCTCTACACGCGCTACGGGTGAAAGGAATCTTCAAAAACTGAGAGCAATCAACTCTGAAAATCACGACGGACTGTGTCAACGCTCCGATTTCATAGCCTGGGTACGCTACAGTAGCCATGCGACTGGGCGCAACAAATTGAACACATATCGATACTTCTTCTCTTCCATTTCGAGCAGGCCTTGCGTCTATACAACCACTTCAACTGGCTCCCTCAGCTCCAGGAACGGTCGGAACAGCTCTTGGCAGTGGTTGGCCGGGAACGACGTCTGTCGCTGACCCTCGTCAGAAACGAAGCCTTTGCTCTATCTCAAGCATCTGCTACCCAAAAATCTATGACCGGCCGTGACGAGGCGGCAAAAACAGGTGAGACGTAGGGGCAGGGCGACACGTCAGAGAGCGGGGAGATCGAACCCGTCATTTGATAGAAGATTGGCTTGCATGTATGTATGTGTTGCCATCGGGCGGTCGATTGAAGTAGGGACAAAGAATGCCACATCACATTCTGTCCAACAAATTTCAAGTGTTCCGGGTACTACGCTACGCTCTGTGATCGTTATCCCAGGCACCCCCATTTCTGCACACGTTTTACGCCATGTGTAGTCAACAGCAATATGTTGTCCCTAGTCATTCCTCTTGGTTTTACATCAACTGTTACAATACAATTCACTGCTAACCAAAAGACGATTTTGTACGTTCTCCTTTGATGCATAGCTCCTCTAGAAAGCCAAACCTAACGTCACGTGGGAATTGCGGCGCCGTGAACTCCCGCGTGAAGGGTCCTACGGAGCCGCAGAAGGAGGCGGCTGTGACACCACGAAGGAACAATTCAACCGTTACGTCAAGGGGATGTGCGTGGTTTGCAACGAAGGCAGCTTCGACCAGGTGTTGGACTTGCTCTTCCGGGCCTACTCGACGGCGAGAGACGATTGCACGATCACGCGCAACGAAATGGCGGCGATACTCTCCAAGCATGTCGTCTATGAGGACTCAGAGGTGAGGGCTAACATGCGTCGTACCGCAACAACACGTCACGAATACTGCCACCCGAACGTAAGAACGTAAAAGAGGCAGACATCGTACGGAAGAGTGTTTTCATTGCCCGGGGCTCAATATAAAACGCCACAATGCCCGTACGAATTGAAGTGTGCAGAGCTTGGAAGCACCGTCACCAGTTGTAGACCTTCAAGGCTTCAGCGGTGAAGGTTGGTTGCGTATCGGATGAAAACAAAGTTTATGATAAAAGTTAACGCTGCTGTGGCTGGACCAATCAGGGGTTGCGTTTGAAGTTCTTCTGGTGCATTGCTGTGAAAAACATGCGCTCTTCTTTCGCTGAGGCACCTTGGTAGAGAGAAGCCCATGGGTATCCCTCACCCCTGTTCTTCTGCTGATTGGCCAAACGTTCGGCGTCATCAATTGTTGACCTGTGACTGAAACCACAACAGGACCCAACGGAGGAAAAAGATCGGGTGTACAGATGGCTGAAACGACAATTTGTACACCTTGCACCAACGGCCTGTCGGACGACAAACTTGGGAACGGCTACAACCACGATTACCTCGAGTGGCGATGTAGCAGCAGCAGGGAGGTATCAAGACGGTGGCGGTTGCATTGGCTGGGACAGCGCTCGCGAGCTTCTTCGGCGAGGCCCCCAGCGATTGGTGGACTCTTTCGCGGTAGACTTGCCCTGCCTGTCCAAGGACCTGTGGAGTGCGGACCTCGTTGATTTGGGGAGAACCAGTCTCATGTCGTCGTTGCAGTAGGTGCCTAGACAACGCCCTATACTGGCCGTGCTCCCGGGGATTTTGATTCTCAAAATTATACTTGCTCGAAATAGGGGCATAGCAAACAAAGGCAATTTTTGCTTAGTGCGATCTCGTTGAAATCTTTCTTCCCGGGAAGCATAGATAGCTTTTTTTTTCTGTCCGTGCTTATGTACATTGTATGTTGAGAACGTATGCGGTGTGTTTCCGAGTTCCCGAGGGCTGGGAAGGCGAGATCACGGACATTTAAATCAAGGAAATTACAGGCAAGCTGGAATAGGCCGGGGTGAGATTGCCTTGTGTCCGTCCGCTCGGGTGAAAGAGTAGAGCTCGATGAAATAAAAGGGTTGGACCGTAGATTGCGCTTTGCGTCAGATTGAATAATGTGTGTGCCAGAGAGAGATAGTCAGACAAACAGAGAGAGGCAAACACATTAGACTACGCCCAAAATGTTTCGAGGTTTGAGTCATTTTCGATGTGCAATAATTTGCGTAACACTTTTGGTTTGATATGCTGACTGCCTTGCGTACATGGTGAGTTCAACCAAATGGCGGCATGCACCTTTGGCTATCTAATGTAGACGAGTGGGAGGTCAATACTGCATGCTGAAGTTTCGCATGTTTTCTTCATTCTTCGGATTCCTGATTTAACGATTTATCTTGCAGGCATACCTTGGAATTTCCATGTATGTGCGCAACATACAAACCTCCGGTGTCGGCCAGTGTGTTGCGGGTTTTGAGGACAACGGTCTGAACGGTATTTTTTCGGAAATGTTAACCGATTGTGGCGAGGGCTCCACCCCCCTGGGATATGATTTGAGGGGATGCGTCTTAAACGGCGCCCCCCTGCTGGGGGCACTACCCCCCTGGTGGTTCGGTCTACCAAACGAAGGGAATGACAACTACTACCGCTAGCCAAAGCGATTAATAAGCAAGTGAGTCTTCGTTCAGGAATTGCTACCTAAATTTACGCCTGTACCTTCACCACAGAAAGAGAAATACATCCAAATACGTCGCTGGCGCACTGGATGGCAATTTGATGGAGGATAGGTTGTACACCTTTTCGCTCCGCGCAGATCACGAAACTCTTCCCAACCCTTGCCAAGAGATCTAGTCATCTCGTTAGGAATGTATAATTGATTCACTTAGCTCGCTCCACGTTCGTGGCGAGATCAACATGGAGCACCGCGAATGGCAGTGGAACACTACAACGAGAGCTAGAAACCTGAGACACGGTCAAATTACGCCTAAGTGGCAAAGCTAGAGCCAGGAATTTCGACGTATCCCGCCGCACCATGCAACCCCATCAACCCAACACATGCCACTATCATACCAAGCGACGCATGCCATCAAAACCCAATTATCCAATATGCATTGAGTAATTCAAACCCATTGCTTGGTCGCATTCCAACGGAACGATTTTTTCCCCAAAGGCTCCGGCTGGTAAAACGCCGGTCCCGGCGCCCCCGGCGGCCCAGTCCCCGCAAACCGTTTCGTCGCCGAGCGAAACATGCTGGAAGAAGACAAAAACCTCTCCGGCGGCTTTGTTTGGTGCGGCGTGTACCAGCCAGGTCCTGCGCAGATGAAAAAATAAAACAAGCACAAATTCCACAACCAACAGCGCGCACAAGCTCACTGTCGACTGGATGACATGCGGGCAATAGGAGTTAAGTAAATCTTCATAATTGGATGGATACGCTTTGTCTTTCGCCAGGCTCAGTAGGATCGACCAACATCTGGACAGAGTCCACCCAAATTTGGATCATGCAAAAGACTTTTTCGTTAAACCTCACCCGGGGTCACCTCTTCCTCCTCCTTAACGCGTCCGCCGCCGCCCCCGCGAAGCTGTTGACTAGGCCGTCCACCTGCCCCGCTACCCCTGCCCCCTCCCGACCCAAGCGCCTCGGTCGAGTTGGCCACGCCTCTATCTACGTCGTACTCCCCGGGCCCGGGGACATCGCTTGCGGCAATAAAAGAGGCGTTTCTTCTGGTCTGTGACCTGAAGAACGGGTCTTTGAGGGCGTTCCCGCTCTTGTCGACATGTGATTGCTGCGTGGGGAGCAGCTCGTAGGTGCCCGGCGCCGGTGTCTCCAGGTGGGTGCCGACGTTTAGGGGCGTTCTTGCGCAGAGGAACGAGGACGTTGGATTCGGTGCGCCAGCTCGATTTTTGTTGGTGGTGTTGTTTCTGTTGCCGCGGTCAATGTTGTACTCGCCTGGGCCAGGGACGATCCCAAGATCCTGCGCAAACCCGCAATCCTGTGTGTTGTATGGGTGTGACGTGAGGTAAGCAGGCCTGTTTAGCCTGTGACCACGGAAGGCATCTGCGTCACTTGGGGTCAGTGCGGAACGATATCTGCTGTCTACATGTATGTAATGCTCAAGCCCCAGCGGTTGGTCGAGCGAGAAAATGTCTTCGTTTTTTTTTTTAACGCTCCGTGAGAGCACAACCAAGGGTCTCTTCCAAAACAGCGAGCAGAGCGAAGGGCAAGGCCACGATGGCGCTGGCGTTCTTGACTTGCGTTCTCGCACGCTAGACCCATAGAAAATACTTTCCTTGTCTGACGTCTGTTCAAACCTGACCGCCTTGTGTTGTTGCTCTTACCACCGAGATTGTACCACGGTCTGAGCTCCCCATCTCTTTAGACCCCCAGGCACTACGTGTAGTCTACATGTACCTACACCATGGCAAGATACAACCTTTGCTGCTTCTTTCTTCGAAGTGCCTCACCCTTTTCAAGCTCGAAAACGACGTCAGTTTGGTTCCTTCCTGCACATCCTCCGCCGTGTACGATCCAGGGCCGGGAAGGTAGGCCTGCTGAAGCGTGTTCAAGTCTTTGAAGCGCGGTGCATTGGAAACGAAACCAGTCCCGTAACCCTTGGCGGAGACCGAGCCACAGACCTTCCCGTCCCTTTCAAGGGTTGACCGCCGGTAGTACGCTCCAGGCGGAGGTACATCGTTCTGTGGTAGGTAGTGGGGAGTAAGGCGGTGTGCCAGAGCTGAGTTAAAAACCTGGTTTCGTCTTGAAAGTCGAAAGAAGGCTAGGTACAACCAGTGATTCATCTCTTAGCACGGTGAGCGAGACATGCGTGTACTTCGGTTGGGCCACTTGTCTACCCTAAGTCGCCACGTACAAGCTCGTAAGCTCTGATAAATTAGAGCATTCAAAATGGTTGACGGCTGGGTAAGTATTCTTGGGCAATACGCTATAACTACGCAGCATAGCAGTACTCTACCACCCGAACATCCCATCCAGCAAACAACGGTCACAACTGCTGCTGCTGTAATCTTCATTGATACGAAAAGTATTTTCTATTTGAAACAAGGAACGCATCGTGTGCTACCTTCGCACACCACTCGTTGTAGGGCCAAGTAGTTGTAAGAATCTCAGCGTGCAATGGCCGATGGCCAAGAGGGAAGGAATCAAAGCATTCTATTAACACAACGGGGCTAAGTAAGCCCCGACACACAGCAACGACCCGTACCGTGAGTTTTGAAAATCGCTCAGTTCTTGCTCCAAAGGCATCCCGCTCGCCTTGTCGCTGCACCCCGTTATCCTTGAGTCTCGGGGGCGGCACGTGGCCCTTTTCTCGGCCGACCTGACGGTATGAAACCTCATTGGCCATGTCATGCAACCAGTGGTGTTGATACTGCGGCAGACGGGTGCCGATGAACTGACGACAAATCAAAGTTTCGTCGGGCGGAGAGATTTTTTTTAAAAAGTAACGGCAGAAAACGCCTCTTTGTCTTTTGCGGGACTTGTCTGGGCAGAAATTCAGGGCCAAGCGCGTGTAGGGTGTGGGGTAGCGTCTCGCGTGCGCGTTGGAGCTTGGGAAGCAGGCTAAGCACTTCTCACAATGTGGTAAACAGAAAGCATGTGTTCGGAAGGGAACATGGACATGAAATACTACTACACTCCTACAGTAAACACGTGCAATTACAAAAGAACTGCTGCATTGTTGGCAGTGCTTCGAAGAAAGCACACAAGACGAAAATGTCTTGAAAAAAAGAGTACGGTGTGTACAGTGCTGTGTGTGAACTACAGAGACTGTCTTTCCTGCCCCATAGATTAACCCCGTGATCAAAAACACCATACAAGCGCAACATATTGCTGGGCACATTTCTTGTGCAACAAATAGCCACATGCGGCACGAACGATAACAATCCTCCTGTCCTTGTGGCCCCGGATCGGAGCTCTTCGTAAAACACCGGAACCTTATGGGTAGACCACAGAACAGAGCTGTCTGTGTAACGAGTGATGACCGTGTCAAAAGGAAACAAAGACCAAGGACACTACAAAAAGTACTTAGTATTTTGCTTTCGACTCAAGCTCAATGCCGCTCACCCTTGCTTTCGAGAGTGCATCATGCGTGTGCGTGTATTAGTTTGCGGTGTTCTTCGAGCGGAAAATGGTCTACATGATGCCGCACGCATGGGTTTACTAAGCAGATAACTAAGCAGATGACCCTTCCAGACAATGGTACATGGTGCGTTGGTCGCAAAATACCGTGGGTACGCTGTCGTGCGCTCCTTTTCAACAGACCACTTAGCCTGCATGCTTGACTGACAGGAAAACTGACATTCGATCCTCTTAGCATCAGCGGTGATCGTACATTCAAACGCCACAAGGGATGGCCGTGGAGAAGGGCCCGGTAAGACATATCGTCAACCCCGACGGGTCACGCGCCTTGATCTCCTCTCGTCAGCGTTGATAACCGTGGGATGATGGTGTCTGCACGCTGTCGATTTTCGGACACGCTTTCTGTGCGTGCTAACTGCAGCAAAGACGGGTGTCGTGTGAGGTCGCCGGGGCGTGCCTCGTTAGCCCCCTCGAAGAAACATAAAAAAAAAAGACATCGTCCATTCTCCCGAAGAAACAAAAGTACGTTTGATCCATCAAGTCTTGGTGCTCCAGCATTCAACGCCCGTCTCCGAATTTCCGCGTCAGTACCCGCCCTTGACTTCATCAAGACGCAGGCGCCGCCGAAGATTCTGCCGCTGTTGCTGCTCCCTCACCACCCACTTCCTCGGCGCCCACGAGCCCCCTGGCATGCCGAAGGTACGCCTCGATCAGGGCATCTAGATCCCCGTCCATGACGTCCTGCACTTGCACGGTCTCCGCTCCCGTGCGCGTGTCCTTGACAAGCTTGTAGGGGTGGAAGACGTAGTTGCGGATCTGTTGCCCCCAGCTCGCCTCCACCATGTCCCCTCTTGAGAACGAAAGGCGAAACGTTGTCGGTTAAAGGGGGGGGGGGGTGTACTCATAGTCGTGCATGCCGTAGTCGTTTGACCATTGACCTCGCATCCCTACAAAGCCGGGACGGAGCACGCCGGGTTCTCACCGGACCAGGCCCTCACATCACCAAGCGCGAAGCACCGTGAGGTATTCGGCGAGTCGCATGAAGGGTGAGCTGCATCCTGCTAAGGGTGTTCGGCATCTTGTGCTTACTTCCTTGCGTACGGATGACAGCTGCGTATGACTTAATTTATTAACTGGTGCTTTCACCTCCAGAGACAGTTATAAGCACCGTGTAACTGCCTCGAGGATGCTTGACCATTTTAACACAACGTGGTGCGATCATCCCCCTTGCGCGGAGTGAGGGTTCTCCACCCCGCACAACATGATCTACTCGACCACCATTATGGTTACCGCCAAAAAAAAAAAAACGAGGTAAAAAAAAAAAACGGTAACCTGGTTGCCGAGTTCACGAAGTGAATTGGCTTGTTTTACAACGTCGTTGCCAAGCGACGAAAACCCAATCCCGATGGCAAACACCGGGGGGGGGGGGGGGGG